TTTTGCTTTGCGAAGTGAATTATTCCCACCGTGCGCCCGAGTTATGAAAGCTTGAACAGTGTCTTCTATAGGGCTGTTGCCTTAGTCGCCCCACAAAGCAAGGCGTCCGTGTTAGCAGGATTGGTCTTCGAATAGGATTGAGATTGCAGATTTCATAAATAAACCTGTCGCATAAAATGCATGAATAAATACATGCACACCCCTTTTAACAACCACCAGGCATTGGCGAGGATGCATAAGGAAATGGAAGACACATAGCAGCATTTCCAGAGGCAAATCCCGCGATAAATGTGATCTCTTACAATATATAAATCAAAGACCTTCAGGCGGCTATTGACAGCGTTAAGAGTTGGTCTATTTGAGTGGGGACTACCACTCTCTCATGACAAATCAAAAGTCTTCAGCTTAAATAGAAGTGATACAGTTATCAAATATAGTCTAGGATCCCAGGAGCTACAGCAAGTCACAGATGTTCGCGACCTTGGTGTGAAGTTTGAAACAAGCTTGCTTTTGATATTCATTACAAAGAAATTGTACATAAAGCTATGTGTAGAATTTACCTTGTTATAGAGCGTGTTAGAGCTAAGGACTATCACACGTCTAAGAGCTTATAAACCTACGTCAGGTCGATTTTGCGAATCGGGAAACTACAATTTTTTTCTCCTTACAAGAAAAGAGATAATATCCTCCAGAAAGTTTCAAAACATTTACGCGCAAGTGGCTACGATGCACTGTCTGGGCCTGATCAATTTATTCCAAATAGTGCTGCACGTCGTCATATTTACTCACTTTCTAGTCTGCTTGTTCGGAGAAAGATAAACGAGCTCATCATGGCATTTAAAATCCTTAACCCATAAGACTCCGACCAATGTGGATGACTTTTTCTTTGACTCATTTCTAAGAACGCGCGGCAGTGCTATCAAAAATCTGGGAGGGGGGGGGGGGGGGGGGGGGGAGACGATCTGGGACGGTAGCAAAGTACCCTTAACTCGCAATCAGAAGTAACGATCGGAGATTCTAAGCAAAGAATAAAGAATGGAGAGTGCGATCCAGCCCAGATCAAGCAAGAGCTTCCTACTTTAGATTTCAGACGACAAAATATCAGGAAACGAATAAATAAGAAAAAAAAGGTTGCAAAAGTACCTGAAGATTATGGATCGCAGCTGCATTCTTTGATTCCTAACAGGTTGAGCTGGTCAGAGAAGAAAAAAGAGCACGGGATTGAAGAGGCGCAGTCACCACGTCTGACACGTATGACCCTCCAGTAAAAAGTCCTTCGGAGTACTTTTTACTCGTGGGTCAACGTGGCGTCTGCGCCTCCTCGACCTCACACTATTTCTTTTCTCTGCCTAATTACGAATTAGGTTTACAAGTTAACTCTCTAACTACTAATTAAAATGGTTTTTTTGGTTATGATCTAACTGTAGGTTAAACAAGACTTAATGTGTTGAGAAGCGCTCTGAACCTGTTATCTAAACTGACTTTGGTCTGAGCTAATCTCGACACGTTAAGTCTGAATTAATGAAGGTTTGCTACCGTCCCAGATGTCGACAGTTCGAGTCAGGTCCGAGCTAAAGTACTTTTCAATAAGAGTAGTAGCCCTACTCAATAAAATACTACGGGACGATGTCATGCATTTTTCTCTGAAAGCTTTCAAAGTTTTAGCAAAAAAATCAGTGCTTGCAGAGGATTCCTCCATTATTCAGAATTGACTGTTGCCACTTTTTCCTTAGTTTTGTTCAGTTTCTGTTTTTTTTTCTGCGTTAAAGGTTGTTATATTTCTCTTTTTAACGCTACCTTTGTTTTGGTTCTTTTCATATTTTACAACACAGCACTGAGTATGTTGGCAATTACTCTTTTGCTTGGTTGTCATACCCCGTGGACTTCGTCTACGTCAATTAATAAAGATAAAGATAAAGATAATCCGCTAAGCAGTTGTATGTGTATGTGTGTATGTGTGTATATGTGTGTATGTGTGTGTGGTGTGTGTGTGTTTGTCTGTCTGACCGGAAATTCATAGCGCGGGCACCAGCTGTCGCCATAAGTTGATTTTGAGATATGATATAGGGGGTGGGACGGGAACATATTTGATGGGGACCAGAAAGTGATAACGGCTGATAGGGGCTGATAAGAAGCGCTCGAACGCACATGTCACGAAATTCACAGCGCAGGGCCCAGCAGCATTGAGGCGTTGCTTTGCAGATATGATAGGGGGTGGGACGGGAACATATTTGATGGGGACCAGAAAGTGATAACGGCTGATAGGGGCTGATAAGGAGCGATACAAAGCATATGTACTGAAGTTCTTATCCAGATGTGGGATAAGAAAACATCTCATTTTTTGCGATGTAGTCGTGATCCATTCGACCGCTAATCTGCCCGAGCTTCCTAAGATGGTCGTGTGCATGAGGGTGGTCGAACCCGTTTAGATAGGTCAGGGTGTGATCGACCACCCAAGAGGCGTAGTTTTGGCGGGAATTGTTAGGATAAAAAGGGGGCGAGGAGCGTTTCAGATGTCTTCTTGTCTGTAGTAGCCCAGAAGGGGCACCCCAAAGCCGCGCCTCTCCATCCCGAATTCATTCCCCTCATCAACGTCGTCGCTAAGGCCCGAGGACTCCATCACCGAGGCCCCGAATATTGTGATACCGATTCTAATACTTTTTTGTAATTATTGCGTGCCGTTTTCGTTAATTAATTGTTTCGTTGTTTGATAAACTTGTTGTATTTCGTGCATGTGACGGTGCAACCCGTTGAGAAAGCGGTACTTGACAAGAATCAGGTCCCATTGATACAGTCGATGTCTGTGGAACTACGATAAATTGGTAAGTTCTATCGCATCACCGGTAAAAGAAGTTATTAGACCGCTAAACTATCCCAGTATCCAAGCATGGTAGATGTTTACGCCGAGGGCTGATAATAAGCAGCCCAAGTAATTGTATTAGTTATCCAAAGGTCATTCGGCTGCTAGACTTTGTTTTTTAGAAAAATGATTTTTTATTGGTATTGGATCTATGAGAAATTACTGTATTTCTCATAGATTCAATATGTAAATTACTGTAATTTCCTAATACCATCAGTAAAATCAATTGAAAGCAGTATGTTACTCAATACAACAGCCCGGCTATACTCTGTTTCACAGAAGCCTATGTTGACATGCGCGCGATAGCGGGCGGAGCAAAACTGGTTACTTATAGCTCGATGAACAGAAGGATGACCCCTTTATTGCTTATCAGCAAGTTCCGGCTCTCTGGATTCCGAAAAAAAGTCCATTGTTTTCAGTTGAAATAAGCTCCCAATACGAGCTTTGTAAACTTCGAAAGCTGTTCTTTCGTTCGGATGAGACCACACCCAGCTTTTCACTCTTTGTGTCAATTGAGCTTATCTAGTTCTTAATATTTTTACTGTTTATCGCGACTAATCACTCATTATGATGGGCGAAACATTGTGGACAACACGGATCTTTGAGGCCATCAACTCTCAAGTTGAAGCGAAACTGCAAAGAGCTTAAACCAAGACGGTACAATGAAATATTCGCCATTGGAATGAAAGTAGAGCTTATAAATGGAGCTGAGGTAAAAAAGAGAGAGAGTCCGAGCTCGAGGAACGCTGGCGACCAAGACAGAAGATGTCTGGAGGAGTTAGTCGGTCGTGCAGCGGGTATCCCTGATCAGGGACGCTGCCGTTCGCCAAGGAATCGAAGGTCAGGAGGGCCGGACACGTCATGCGATTTTGTGATGCACGAAAGCTCTGAACGAAAGGAATGAAGCACTGCGTGTCCCTGGAGAATGGAGAAAAAAATGCGAGGAGAATTCATTTGACCTTTCTAGCACGCGACAGGGACGAATGTGGAGACGTTGCTAGCGCCCACTCGAGCAAATCGCGATCCTATGCCATGCCTCGGTACCTTCAAAATTTGTGACTGCACTTGAGCTTACTACCTCCCTCCCTTCCATTGGCCAAATGCGATCCCCAGTTCGATTATTGCGCAGCAAGCGGTTGACCTTGGTTTCAAGAGTGCCAAGACCGTGCCTTGTCCAGTGCAAGCACTGCCGTTATTATCAATCGTGGCATACGTGGCGTCTGAGCCCTCTCGCGTACAATGTTCTCTCGTATTTTCCCTCTCTTCACAGCGCAGTGTCTCTCCGTCACACCACAACCCAATCCTCTATCCCTTGCACGGAAATCACCCAACAAGCGCGCAAAGACCTTGCAAAGTAAGCTGCTGCAACTTTAACTTTTTTCTTTTATCAAGCTCTTGTCTGGCGCTCTTTCATCTGTTGCGCTCTCTCACCTAATACGCGCCTTTTCCATCATAGTCTCTCTTTACACACTCAACAGCTCTGGGGTGTGTCTGCATAAAATAATGATGGTATACGTATCACTTGCTAAACCCAACGCCGGTGCTACGGACTAATTGTAATCCTTCTATTTTTATAAAGCGCTAACTTTGTGTGTCGGTTTGTGTATCTGTATGTGTGTGTGTGAGTGTGTGTGTGTGTGTGTGTGTGTGTATGTATGTGTGTCCGTCCGCAAAATGAAGTGAGTGAGAAGGAAGCTCATGGGATAAACAAAGCTATATAAACACCTGCTTAGCACACTTCCGTTCATTCCACATGGTGCTGCAGTGGCAGCTGGAGGGCAGTGGAGAGAGGAAGGGAGGATGAGGAAGGGAAGCGAAAAATCTACCGTCATATCATGATTGTGTCCCTTCTACTGTATGAAACACCATTGTGTTGCATACGCGTCACTTCCAGGAGGTGTTGGTGTCACAGGAGGAAGGGACCATAGCGGAGGATAGAAAGCTTGCGCAGGAAAGGAAGGTCCCGGCGGTTGACGGGGGACTAATCTGGTTAAAATAATGGAAGTGGAAGTATATCGTTTCAGAAACATTCATTCACGAACACCAACACACTACAAATGTTGAAACTCTAAACGACGATATCAAAAGTACTTGTAAAATACAACGTTTACATGGACCATCTTTCTCATCTTTTCATAATCTAATCACATATTGTATCGAGATACGCATCAACCTGGTCATAAACCTGCTTTTCAAGATCTTCCATATTTTCAATCAAAGCAATGCGAATTGATTGTTCAAGCGACGGATCCTTCTCGATAAGTTTTTTAGCCACGAACGCATATGTTTGACAGTCACCTCGGAAAACTCTGCAAACATACAGTTACGCACAACAAACCACATGTAAGCTAGCGGAAAAGTGCTTCGGCCAGCTTTAGAAATTTTTTATCTTTTTGTCAAATTGGAAAAAGTAGGAGCTAGACAGTGGTGCAGAGTTCAAAGCGAGCGCAACTAGGGATAACCTTATCAGTTTTTCGAGCTAGAAACATGCCAATGCAACAACTTCAACTCAAAGTCCTTACATAACCAGATGCTCAGTGACAGTCTTGAGGTTGGTCGCATACAAGTTAAAGGCTAATCTTTCATTTATGGAATGGGATGCCATTTTCAGACTAAAAATCACGATATGCTATAGATAGGAGGATTTCCTGGCAGCAAAACAAGGTGTGTAGGATTCTGGTCAAATATTCAGAAGCGGCGGCAAAAGGGAAGTTGCGTGTTATATAAATGTTAAGACAGCGGTCGTCTACCATCGACGTAACGGACAAGCGACTGGAGCGGCGCGATCGCTCCATCGCTTGTCCATCGCTTTGCAATCGCTCTGCCGAAAGCGATTGCACCTGTACCGAGACCCCCAATCGATGAAGTCGGCTGCGGTATCGATCGAGCAGTCATCGATCGTGGCTTGTGCATTTGCAAGCGATTGCGCAATCGCTTGCCAATCGCTGTCGGCCGAGCGATTGGCAAGCGATGGACAAGCGATGGAGCCGTCGCCGAGTGTGACGGCGGTCTAAGGCTCTCCACTAGCAGAAATGACCAACTTCTTTTGATGAGTAGCAGACTACTTGATAAATAACTCCTTCATATGCCAACATGGCGAACTGCTTTTAAATGAACCAAGAAAACAGGATTTACGAAAAATAACCTCTTCTAGCTTCTTCTTCCTGACTAAAAATCTTTCAAGGGATATCTCATTCAGTTTAGTGAGCCGTTCCTCCCTGACTGTACGTTTTTCCTCCTCACTGTCTTGTTGATGCATCGCTAAGCTGCTCAGTCGTAGTGTACCTGAGCCATTTATCAAATAAGGAGAGCACTTAACAATTCGAATAGTGTAAATATCTCACCTTCATCTTGTTTCGGTTCCGCCTTCACAGTTTTTATTAAATTAGCTTGAATTTCTTTAAATTGTGCAAAGAACCGAGAACTGGTTGGGAAACGCGATGTTAGCCCCTTGGATGACACATCATTCTGAAAGTAAAACTTCTTAACTTTGTAATACAGCCGACAGATTCGGATTGGGAAGGTACTTCGTAACTATAGATAGCCAATATGAAAGAAATGTGAGCGATACACGTTGATACACGGCGTTAGGAAAATTCCAGCAATCAACTTGCATGGAACTAATTAGCTAGTGTACGAATTGTACTGCGCGTCCTGTCGCGCGGCGGGCACAGGCGCGTAAGCGATGTGGCGGTGTTGCTGTGTTCAATGTGATAGTCTATCGTTAATTTAATTAGGCTGTAACAGTGCGCCACATACTGTTGATGCCACGGCCAAGTAAGAGCTAGGAGGGGAAGATTTTTACTTGACTTGAAAGATGGAAGAAGACTTGAATGATGCCCCATACAATGCAGAAAGTTTTTCAACCACAAAGCCATGTTTACCCTCCCCGCAACTCCTTTCCTTCCTTCGTGATCGCTATCCTCCTAATTTGCAATTCCTTCTGCGGACCATCTAGTGCGAAACGTCACACGACAAAAAAAAATTAAAGAAAAAATTGAAGGAATGGTGTACAAATGAGGACTGAACCATACTCTAGCAAAATACCCCTTCTGCATAAGAGGAGTTCCGCTGTTCGAACAATGGACCACAATCCCATCCCCCCGCCTTATATTAACAAGACCCAAGTCAAAAATGGACCATCACCACCGAATCTATCCAAAGAGTTGTGAGAAACACGATCTTCAAAAGAAATGAAATAAACAAACTGCGAATCTTTGACTTCATGCGGTGAACTCAACCACATATAACGTAATCTACAACAGCCGGCTTGCGCGGACGAGACTGCCAAATAGGCACAGCAATCGTGTTTCCAGTGGGCCTCCTTTCCACAGTTTTGCGATACTTTCTTTTGAATATGGAAACCAAACTCCCATATTGAGCAGTTTAGCCATATAGGTAGACAAACATAGACTTGGAATACTCACTGCTCATGAAAAATTCCCTTACCTGCGAAGGCCTGGATGGGGTAGGTTCTGTAGTATATTGCATTGCAGCAGTCTTCGAAGGAGATTCATCCAAATGATTACGAACCCTTTCAGTCTGCATCCCCAGCTTGCCGGACTCATTTGATCTTAAACAGCTACGCTATTCGCTATTCACACCAAAAGACTAATGAGTTAGGCAGAATATGTGTTAGCTTCTTACATCCTCTACACCTGGCCAAAGGTAAAAGTAAACAAAACAACGCAGATGCATGTCGAGAAAGCTTTAAAAGTCAAAATAATGATTGAACTTTACTCACTTCTTTTCAGAGTTGAACAGCGGTGGACAGGGTGGTGGTGGTAGACCAATTGCTGCCATAACATTAGGTTTGGCATCTTGTGCTTCTAGAATGTAAATAGATCCAAGGACGCTTTGACTGGGTGGGAAAACAATCTGGCGTTCGATAAGCTGTTAACGTTTAGCATGCACACGGAAAGGAGGCTTCATTTGAAGCAAGCGGAAACTTTATCGTACTAATCAGTTATAGATAGCAACTTATGGTTCTACGGTCTTCTAGCAACTGAACAATTGCATATAATGGATGAATAAGGACGGAATGCTGACCTTGAAGCAGTGTTTCTTCCTCCTGAGCTGCAACTGATGGAGGTGTTACAACAGGAGCTGATGGAGACATCCGAAGAACACGACGTGGCAGTTCATCCTAGACAAAGCAAAATGTGCAAAAAGTCAAAAAAGAAACCTGAAAAATTAGTCTCCACACAAAAATTCTTCATTGTTCCAAGGTGCAGCAATCGTTTGCTCTACCTTTATAAAGATTTGGAATGGCCTGCTTAGTACTGTAACCCTCAGAGATTTTACGATGATTTAGTTCATTACGATTTAGTTGATTATTGAGGAGAGGGGGAAGCTACACTGACCAAGCTTAGCCACAGAGTTTCATAGCTGCCCCTCAAATTACGTATTCATGAAATTACAAACTCAAATTGTGGTGAAAAAACCACAATTTGAATTTGTAATTCTTTGAGAAATATAACGAGACCTCTGACCGAATAAAATGCAAGCTAAGAACTACGAGTAGTTCGGTGCTTGCAATTAATTCGGTCAAACCCCTCGTTATATCTGGTTTTACTGTTTTTTCGCTACTGGCGTACCATTGAGCAGAATCTGGTTACACTGAATCCTTCGTGGATTTATCGTAATCGCTTCCCTTAAGCCGCGTTCATAGTTCGCGACTCGGGAGATTAGGATAGTAGGCGACAGGATAGTAGAGTAGGAGATTGCGCTGACAAGATTGGATACGTATCGATTGAAATCGCTGGAGAGTAGTAGATTGGGCGACTTCAAGCGAATAGATCAATACATATCTAATCTTGTCAGCGCACTATCCTAATCTACTACTATCCTAATCTCCTACTCTACTACTATCCTACTATCGTAATATCGCAATCTACTACTCTCCAGCGATTTCAATCGATACGTATCTAATCTTGTCAGCGCAATCTCCTACTCTACTACTATCCTAATCTCCCCGTCAATACATATGTTTTTCATTGTCGCGTACTATCCTAATCTCCGGAGTCGCGAACTATGAACGCGGCCTTAGGAGGAATATCACGCAGCTCCAAAAAGTGTTACCAAGAAATAATCGCGCGAGCTTATTACTCACTACCCCCTCCACTTACAATGCCCCATAATGCAATGTAGGTTTGGAGAAATTCTTAAATTGACGACTCAGCCCCTTCACTTGTCTCCGAGATATAACCTATTGAGAAAGAAAAGAAACCACTGAATGGATAAACAACATGAGCCTGAGATAAACTAAACATATTTGTAATATGTTGAAAGCACTCACTGATTCAATACCAATAGTGAAACTGGTATTGCTGATGACATTAGCTGGAGTATTGATGCGAATAGGAAAGCGGACTGGAGCACTTGTGACAGGAGCCAACGGAGGAGGAAATGGAGGTTCTGCGTCTGCACTTTCCGTAGGAGCATCGTTCGGAGCAGCTGATGCTTCCTCTTGATTCGGCGAGACTGGAGACCCAGCGGGAGCGTGTCGTCCAACTGAAAACGTGAAATGATTTTAATTAGAAGTATACCAGTGGGAAAACATTCACTCAAAAGAAAGCAGACGACAAAAGAATTACATATTGCACGTTCTGGCGTTGAAGAATGTCCTCCTGAAGAGCTATGAGATGCGGTTCTGCTCCGCTTCTTCTTTCTGTAAACGGTAATTGAAAGAAGTGTCGGAAGGGAAGCAAATGAAAAAATCTCACGACTTTCTGTGCTTTCTGTCCTTTTTAGCACGTTTTTTCTCAGGATCTCCATCGTTGTCCTTGTCCTTGTCACGATCAGAGTTCGTGTCATTGGATGGAGACCGCCGGTCACGTTCATCATTTACTCCATGGTCACTACTGCGCGAACGACTACGCGAGGAGTTCGCCGACCTATTTTGTGACAAATTTAGAATCTAGGTAATTCCATAGGAGATACCGACAATCGCGGGACCGGAGTATAAATGTAATTGAAACCTAAATTTGTCGAAGCCACGGAGAGCTAACCTCGCACTCGGAGAACGACTATCACTAGATGATCGGGCTCGATCTCTCGACCTCGATCTGCTCCTGTCATCATCACGATCCGAGTGCCTTCTTTTGTACCTTAACATACCAAGCGAAATAAAGAAAGCGAACGGTATGGGTCGAATCGCATTTACTATCGTACTCCAATAATCTTTTGCGTGCCTCTTCGAAAAATGCTCGTGAAAGAGTACTGCACTTTTTGGGTCTACATCTTTTGAGCAGCACGCTTTCAAAGAAGGTCAGCATTTCTTTCCATACAACTTGCAGCAACTCAATATCACTTGTTTTTATCTGTACAGGCAGAAAAAATACCAATCTACCAGCTCCACAGAAAGGAACTCAACTCGATGAGGGAAAAAATATTATCATCATCATCATCAAAATCGTTGTTAAACATGTAAAACACTGAGTAAGACATACGACCCTTTGATAGTTGTTATTTGTCTTTGTTTCTTCTGCCTTTCGAGGTTGATAGGTGGAACATTTATTCAATCGGCCTAACGTTTCGACAAAATCGTCGTCTTCTGAGGCCCAGGGTTCCACCGTTTGTGCGGGAATCCCGCTTCCGCACAAAAGCGCCGGTCAGTAAGAACAAAGAATGCCGAGGTTACAGGAAGAGAGAAGCTGGAGACTACTCCTTTGATAGTGTTTCAAAATTTTCGAGGCGCTTTCGATTGAATGTTTCTAATGCTTAACAATTTGATCTCTTCTTCGAATCAGTCCCATCGAAAGTGAATGCAAGAGGAATAATCGCAGCACAGTGTTGAAGACCGTTGTTACTGACAAGAAAGAATCTTTTTTTATGATAGAAAGTGCTATAATGAAACACTCACGATTCTCGACCGCTTCCTCTGCCAGCACTCTGTTGATAGGATCGATTTCGATAAACGGGCCGTCCTCGTCCTCATACAATTTAGAAATTAGATCAGAGTTCTAACCTAGAGCAGCAGCTGAGACTTACTGTTCTGGTTCATACTTTGATACTGCGCATATCTACGAATGTCTTTGAACCAGCTTAGTTCACACCGATGACCCATCAAATCACTGTCACTATACCTAAACAAGAAACACATTATCTACTGCCAAATCAAGAGAAATGATGAGAAAAATCCTACTTGCTCATTGCTTCCTTTGCATCATCTCTTGTTTCGAAGCGGACAGCAACGAACAGGCGCTGCTGGTCAGCACTAGTTTTAACAAAATCGAAAGAAACTGGCCCAATTCTGTCTTCGAAATACTCCCTAAAACAGTTGTATCTCTGTAGCAAACATCACATCAGAACTGAGATTTTGTGTAAATGTAGACTGCTATTTCCCATGCTCTATCATCACTCACCTTACAAAGAGGAAACCTTGTCAAATCAATGAAAGTTATTAACGCGATGCTCATTGCATCTTCCTAGTCAACAATTGCAAAAGTCTATCCAAAGGTCAAACAACGACATAGAGTAACAGGATAGGGGAGTAACGTCCAACGGCAACCGTGAAAATCTCCTCCAATTAATTGACGCTCATTAAATATCGATTATCATCAAATCAAGAGTTTTTATAGCTGGAAATATCATTCGTTACTGTCTTCGCTAATAATAACACATTAGAAGAGGATTCCATGACGATTAGTTGAATTTTGAATGCAGACCAAAGTAATAATAAAGTCACACCTGATCTCGTCTGTTGACATGTCACCAGGCAAACCACGAATGAATATGGTATGCTTGGATTCAGGAACTTCATCTTCATTAATGCGGTCCCTTCTTTGATGATAGTCGTAACCACGGTTGACGTATGCACCACCGTAGCTCATCCTTGAATTGGCACAAATGATGCAAATCAACTAAGCTGTTCCACAGATAAAATTGAAGCTGGAATGAAATCGGTTGCTGTGATTTCCTACAATCTCCTTCTTATCTAGGCTTCTTATCGCTGAGTAGTCCACACTTTAGGACTTTCGTGTTCAAACCGACCAATACAGGACTCAAACCATCGACGAGTTCCCATTCGTTTCACATTGACGCAAAATGATAAACTTCAAGACTTCTAGAAACAAGTTATGAGGCCACGATTGAAGCTGACCATAGCTTCCCAAAAGTGCTTGCAGAATTGAAATTTCCCAAACACACGTGCAATTGAGCATGTTTAGGTTGAGGGAAACATGAGTATTGAATAAACTTTGGCGCTAAGTGAGTCAAGGGCAGGTAAGCCGACCTTCAAGTAGAAGTTGGGAAAAATTATTTTGTACGCAATCCTAGAACACCTTAACTGAGCAGGCCTTAGGAGAAAGGAGGAACCCCGAGATGGGTAGCATATCATTCGAGATACTTACGTAATGTTGAAATTCTGCGCACCCTTCCCCGACTCACAAGGCATCTACAATTGTTTTCAAAGTCGAAGAGAAGCACTTAATGTTTCCGAAATGCCCATTCTGAAAGACTGTTAGACCATTTCAAGAAATAAAACCTGCCTGAAACGTTGGCGATCGTCTCCCTACTTGCTTGTAATGTTGGCAACAACTTAGAAACTAGCAAATTACTAAGCCTCTTGCGAAAACGCGCAGCCTTTATGAATAACAAAAGGATGCACGTTTCATAAGCACAACAAACAGCCTGAAATATGTAAGCAGAGCCATACCCGTGAACTTTCCTAACTCGAGTATTCCCCTTCACTAGTAAAGATTGTCACGCACGATACCAATATTTTACTGGCACTCCGTTACTTGAGAGCTGATGGACTAAAGCTTTCAAAAGCGCCGAAGCATCCGAACACGTACCTCTAAAAAGAATTTCCAGACGTTTGCAAGATCCAGATAGAAAAATGAGATTCCAAACACGTCCAGTAAGGCCAAGCACCAAGTCTAAAACCAGCAATACCACTAACGCGACCAGACGAAAGCAATCTGGAGTGAGAACGAGGAAGGGCATTGCTCAGACTTGCGCCGCTGCCCACCGTAATCCAACAACCTGCGTACCACGACTCGTTTCAAAACGTCGCCTGTTGCGGCTCGTCTTGCTGTTTTGTGTCAGGCAGGGCTTGTTAACTCGAGCAAGTTGACCACAAGGTCGAGCAGAATGGGTAGGTAAGATTCAAATGCCGCTATATCCAAATTATAGGCCTGGCATGCCAGAGCAATACTACTTGGATTGGGGTGGTGCTAACGATAAGATATCCGTCAGGCTCAGCGATTGTGCTGAGGGACGGGCGATTGCTTTGGGACTAATGGTAAGCCTGAGCATAGGAAGGAGAGGGTCGGCTGTGAACAATATGACTTGGAATTTCGCAGAATCCGACTTTGGCACATTTGAGCTTCCTCTTAATCTTAGGCTAAGGCTCTGTGCTAACGCCTTAGCAGACGCCGTGCCGCCGCGCGGTCCCCCCCCCCTCCCAACTCACTGAGCACCAGGAAAGGCTGGTTTTGCAAGCTGTGCAAAAGGGACTGCTCATTCCAGTGCTTCTGCAACCAGGGTCGACCGCCCGTTGCGCAAAGATCCGAGGGGTCGTACACATATAACTAATGGGGGCGGGTCGTAATCTCAACTACCAGTCACAAAATTTGAAGGTACCAAGGCAGGGATAAATGGCAAAGGGCAGACTTTCAACTGCCACTGCGACTAGTAAGCACAGACGATTGGATTGGTGCATCCCGGTGTAAGGAGACCTTGTTGAAACACCTCATATTCCAGTGAGCACGAGGAAACGAATTCTCCCAGGGAAAAGATGATGCTTCCAAACCGAATCTAATCGTAAGCGGAGAATAGTGAAACGAAATGAGCGGGTCGACTTCTAGGGTCCTAATAAGCACAAGAAAGGTTTCCTTCCCAAGCTTTTTAAGAGAATCTACCATGTGCTATGAAGTACCGATCTTTTTCCAAATGGTTTTTATCGCTTTTCATTATGGATCGTAGATTGAATTCTCTTGAAGCTCTTCCACTCTTACACTTTATTGGCAAGCTTTCGGCAATAATGCCATCATCAGACCAATCTTAAAATTACAATACTTGCGACTGATCAACTGTTCTTATACAATAAACACGATACATCGACATACCAGCGATAAGGGAGTACGGAGGGGACCTATGAGGGTCGGGAACGAGTGAAAAATGAGACATCATCCCCGAGGGAAGGACTTCATGGATTACGTAAGAAGTCTCAAAAGGTCACGTAGCTCTTCCTTTTTATTAATTTCCTTTTTATTAATTTTTATTAATAGCTTTTCATTATGCCTATTTCAAGGGAGTGACGGGCGTTCGAAGGATAAAAAACTGCGCTTTGGAGAATGACTTAAAAGAGCCACAGAGAGAAGAAGCGGAACAACCGGATTATTTTTGAAAGGGTGGTTATTCAAAAAAATCAACATTTATTCAAATACCATAGTCTTCTAGCTTGCGAGTAGTTTTAGAAATCTGCAGAAAAAAAATTAACTACGAAGCAGGTGAAGTAAGCAAACCAGCCCTTTTGGCGTTTCTGCTGGGGCCGTATGCTGAATGTTGGGGGGTGCGTAGCGTTTCTCCTCCTGGGGTCAGGTCACCTAAAATTGAGACGCCGTTCATTCGCTCGGAGCAAGCTTAGGACTAAGCCTAGGCCCAATCATAGGCTTAGGCATAAGCCAATGTGTAAGCATAAGCCTTAACCTAAGTCTAAACCCAAACTTAACCTTAAGCTTCAATGATCGCGCAACTGTGGTGACCTGACCCCAGGAGGAGAAACGCACGTCTCCCCAGGTCAGGGCGGTCGTTCCTCTCCTAACGCCGGCATTTCTGAGGTGAGCATATCAAATGAGTGCGGTGTTGCAGGACCGAGTTGGAATACAGTGCGGGGACCCTACGCCCCCCCAACATTCAGCATACGGCCCCAGCAGAAACGCCAAAAGGGCTGGTTTGCTTACTTCACCTGCTTCGTAGTTAATTTTTTTTTCTGCAGATTTCTAAAACTACTCGCAAGCTAGAAGACTATGGTATTTGAATAAATGTTGATTTTTTTGAATAACCACCCTTTCAAAAATAATCCGGTTGTTCCGCTTCTTCTCTCTGTGGCTCTTTTAAGTCATTCTCCAAAGCGCAGTTTTTTATCCTTCGAACGCCCGTCACTCCCTTGAAATAGGCATAATGAAAAGCTATTAATAAAAATTAATAAGGAAAGGAAATTAACAAAAAGGAAGAGCTACGTGACCTTTTGAGACTTCTTACGTAATCCATGAAGTCCTTCCCTCGGGGATGATGTCTCATTTTTCACTCGTTCCCGACCCTCATAGGTCCCCTCCGTACTCCCTTATCGCTGGTATGTCGATGTATAGTGTTTATTGTATAAGAACAGTTGATCAGTCGCAAGTATTGTAATTTTAAGATTTGGTCTGATGATGGCATTATTGCCGAAAGCTTGCCAATAAAGTGTAAGAGTGGAAGAGCTTCAAGAAGAATTCAATCTACGATCCAGAAATGAAAAGCGATAAAAACCATTTGGAAAAATCGGTACTTCATAGCACATGGTAGATTCTCTTAAAAAGCTTGGGAAGGAAACCTTTCTTGTGCTTATTAGGACCCTAGAAGTCGACCCGCTCATTTCGTTTCACTATTCTCCGCTTACGATTAGATTCGGTTTGGAAGCATCATCTTTTCCCTGGGAGAATTCGTTTCCTCGTGCTCACTGGAATATGAGGTGTCTCAACAAGGTCTCCTACACCGAGATGCACCAATCCAATCGTCTGTGCTTACTAGTTACAGTGGCAGTTGAACAGCTCTGCCTTTGCCACTTGATCCGCATGCTGGTACTTCAAATATCTGTGACTGATAGTAGAGATTACGACCGCGCCCCCATTAGTTATATGTGTACGACCCCTCGGATCTTTGCGCAACGGGCGGTCGACCCTGGTTGCAGAAGCACTGGAATGAGCAGTCCCTTTTGCACAGCTTGCAAAACCAGCCTTCCCTGGTGCTCAGTGACTTGGGAGGGGGGGGGGACCGCGCGGCGGCACGGCGTCTGCTAAGGCCTTAGCACAGAGCCTTAGCCTAAGATTAAGAGGAACCTCAAATGTGCCAAAGTCGGATTCTGCGAAATTCCAAGTCATATTGTCCACAGCCGACCCTCTCCTTCCTATGCTCAGGCTTACCATTAGTCCCAAAGCAATCGCCCGTCCCTCAGCACAATCGCTGAGCCTGACGGATATCTTATCGTTAGCACCACCCCAATCCAAGTAGTATTGCTCTGGCATGCCAGGCCTATAATTTGGATATAGCGGCATTTGAATCTTACCTACCCATTCTGCTCGACCTTTGTGCGTTCAACTTGCTCGAGTTAACAAGCCCTGCCTGACACAAAATAGCAAGACGAGCCGCAACAGGCGACGTTTTGAAACGAGTCGTGGTACGCAGGTTGTTGGATTACGGTGGGCAGCGGCGCAAGTCTGAGCAATGCCCTTCCTCGTTCTCACTCCAGATTGCTTTCGTCTGGTCGCGTTAGTGGTATTGCTGGTTTTAGACTTGGTGCTTGGCCTTACTGGACGTGTTTGGAATCTCATTTTTCTATCTGGATCTTGCAAACGTCCTGGAAATTCTTTTTAGAGCGTAAGTGTTCGGATGCGTCGGCGCTTTTGAAAGCTTTAGTCCATCAGCTCTCAAGTAACGGAGTGCCAGTAAAATATTGGTATCGTGCGTGACAATCTTTACTAGTGAAGGGGAATACTCGAGTTAGGAAAGTTGACGGGTATGGCTCTGCTTACATATTTCAGGCTGTTTGTTGTGCTTATGAAACGTGCATCCTTTTGTTATTCATAAAGGCTGCGCGTTTTCGCAAGAGGCTTAGTAATTTGCTAGTTTCTAAGTTGTTGCCAACATTACAAGCAAGTAGGGAGACGATCGCCAACGTTTCAGGCAGGTTTTATTTCTTGAAATGGTCTAACAGTCTTTCAGAATGGGCATTTCGGAAACATTAAGTGCTTCTCTTCGACTTTGAAAACAATTGTAGATGCCTTGTGAGTCGGGGAAGGGTGCGCAGAATTCAACATTACGTAAGTATCTCGAATGATATGCTACCCATCTCGGGGTTCCTCCTTTCTCCTAAGGCTTGCTCCGTTAAGGTGTTCTAGGATGCGTACAAAAATGTTTCCTCAACTTTATGAAGAGTCGGCTTACCTGCCCTTGACTCACTTAGCGCCAAAGTTTATTCAATACTCATGTTTCCCTCAACCTAAACATGCTCAATTGCACGTGTGTTTGGGAAATTTCAATTCTGCAAGCACTTTTGGGAAGCTATGGTCAGCTTCAATCGTGGCCTCATAACTTGTTTCTAGAAGTCTTGAAGTTTATCATTTTGCGTCAATGTGAAACGAATGGAACTCGTCGATGCTTTGAGTCCTGTATTGATCGGTTTAAACACGAAAGTCCTAAAGTGTGGACTAATCAGCGATAAGAAGCCTAGATAAGACGGAGAGATTATAGAAATCAGAGCAACCGATTTCATTCCAGCTTCAATTTTCATCTGTGGAACAGCTTAGTTGATTTGCATCATTTGTGCCAATTCAAGGATGAGCTACGGTGGTGCATACGTCAACCGTGGTTACGACTATCATCAAAGAAGGGACCGCATTAATGAAGATGAAGTTCCTGAATCCAAGCATACCATATTCATTCGTGGTTTGCCTGGTGACATGTCAACAGACGAGATCAGGTGTGACTTTATTATTACTTTGGATCTGCATTCAAAATTCAACTAATCGTCATGGAATCCTCTTCTAATGTGTTATTATTAGCGAAGACAGTAACGAATGATATTTCCAGCTATAAAAACTCTTGATTTGATGATAATCGATATTTAATGAGCGTCAATTAATTGGAGGAGATTTTCACGGTTGCCGTTGGACGTTACTCCCCTATCCTGTTACTCTATGTCGTTGTTTGACCTTTGGATAGACTTTTGCAATTGTTGACTAGGAAGATGCAATGAGCATCGCGTTAATAACTTTCATTGATTTGACAAGGTTCCTCTTTGTAAGGTGAGTGATGATAGAGCATGGGAAATAGCAGTCTACATTTACACAAAATCTCAGTTCTGATGTGATGTTTGCTACAGAGATACAACTGTTTTAGGGAGTATTTCGAAGACAGAATTGGGCCAGTTTCTTTCGATTTTGTTAAAACTAGTGCTGACCAGCAGCGCCTGTTCGTTGCTGTCCGCTTCGAAACAAGAGATGATGCAAAGGAAGCAATGAGCAAGTAGGATTTTTCTCATCATTTCTCTTGATTTGGCAGTAGATAATGTGTTTCTTGTTTAGGTATAGTGACAGTGATTTGATGGGTCATCGGTGTGAACTAAGCTGGTTCAAAGACATTCGTAGATATGCGCAGTATCAAAGTATGAACCAGAACAGTAAGTCTCCAGCGCTGACTCTAGTTAGCGAACTCTGAGCTAATTATCTAAATGATATCAGAGGACAGGACGGCCATTTTACCGAAATCGATCCTATCAACAGAGTGCTGGCAGAGGAAGCGGTCGAGAATCGTGAGTGTTTCATTATAGCACTTTCTATCATAAAAAAAGATTCTTTCTTGTCAGTAACAACGGTCTTCAACACGTGTGCTGACGATTTATCTCTCTTGCCATGGCACTGTACGATGGGACTGATTCAATAAAGAGAATAAATTGTTAAGCATTAGAAACATTCAATCGAAAGCGCCTCGAAAATTTTGAAACACTATCAAAGGAGTAGTCTCCAGCTTCTCTCTTCCTGTAACCTCGGCATTCTTTGTTCTTACTGACCGGCGCTTTTGCGCGGAAGCGGGATTCCCGCCGACAAACGTGGAACCTGGGCTCGGGAAGAGGCTAGTGGGTTCGAAACGTCAGCACCGTTCAATAAATCCACCTATCAACTCGAACAGGCAGAAGAAACAAAGACAAATAACAACTATCAAAGGGTCGTATGTCTTACTCAGTGTTTTACATGTTTAACAACGATTTTGATGATGATGATGATAATATTTTTTTCCCTCATCGAGTTGAGTTCCTTTCTGTGGAGCTGGTAGATTGGTATTTTTTCTGCCTGTACAGATAAAAACAAGTGATATTGAGTTGCTGCAAGTTGTATGGAAAGAAATGCTGACCTTCTTTGAAAGAGTGCTGCTCAAAAGATGTAGACCCAAAAAGTGCAGTACTCTTTCACGAGCATTTTTCGAAGAGGCACGCAAAAGATTATTGGAGTACGATAGTAAATGCGATTCGACCCATAGCCGGGGGTCGCTTTCTTTATTTCCGCTTTAGCGGATGTTAAGGTACAAAAGAAGGCACTCGGATCGTGATGATGACAGGAGCAGATCGAGGTCGAGAGATCGAGCCCGATCATCTAGTGATAGTCGTTCTCCGAGTGCGAGGTTAGCTCTCCGGCTTCGACAAATTTAGGTTTCAATTACATTTATACTCCGGTCCCGCGATTGTCGGTATCTCCTATGGAATTACCTAGATTCTAAATTTGTCACAAAATAGGTCGGCGAACTCCTCGCGTAGTCGTTCGCGCAGTAGTGACCATGGAGTAAATGATGAACGTGACCGGCGGTCTCCATCCAATGACACGAACTCTGATCGTGACAAGGACAAGGACAACGATGGAGATCCTGAGAAAAAACGTGCTAAAAAGGACAGAAAGCACAGAAAGTCGTGAGATTTTTTCATTTGCTTCCCTTCCGACACTTCTTTCAATTACCGTTTACAGAAAGAAGAAGCGGAGCAGAACCGCATCTCATTAGCTTTCTCTAGAGAGACTATTCTGGCAACGCCAGAACGTGCAATATGTAATTCTTTTGTCGTCTGCTTTCTTTTGAGTGAATGTTTTCCCACTGGTATACTTCTAATTAAAATCATTTCACGTTTTCAGTTGGACGACACGCTCCCGCTGGGTCTCCAGTCTCGCCGAATCAAGAGGAAGCATCAGCTGCTCCGAACGATGCTCCTACGGAAAGTGCAGACGCAGAACCTCCATTTCCTCCTCCGTTGGCTCCTGTCACAAGTGCTCCAGTCCGCTTTCCTATTCGCATCAATACTCCAGCTAATGTCATCAGCAATACCAGTTTCACTATTGGTATTGAATCAGTGAGTGCTTGCAGCATATTACAAATATGTTAGGTTTCTTCTCAAGCTCATGTTGTTTATCCATTCAGTGGTTTCTTTTCTTTCTCAATAGGTTATATCTCGGAGACAAGTGAAGGGGCTGAGTCGTCAATTTAAGAATTTCTCCAAACCTACATTGCATTATGGGGCATTGTAAGTGGAGGGGGTAGTGAGTAATAAGCTCGCGCGATTATTTCTTGGTAACACTTTTTGGAGCTGCGTGATATTCCTCCTAAGGCCGCGTTCATAATTCGCGATTCCGGAGATTAGGATAGTACGCGACAATGAAAAACATATGTATTGACGGGGAGATTAGGATAGTAGTAGAGTAGGAGATTGCGCTGACAAGATTAGATACGTATCGATTGAAATCCCGGAGAGTAGTGGA